CTGGCCCTTAGTATCCTCACCTGTAAAATGGGACTAATAGCACCCAGCCCCATGCAGTGAAGTGACCGGCACCACGTGTGGTCCTCGGTGAGCACTCGGCCGCGATGGGTGTATTGGCAGGGCAGGCCAGGAGGGGCTCCCCATCCCCTCCCCTCCCCTGCCACGGCCCATGATGCCCCTTCTCGCCTAGTTCCACGTGGACAAGAAGGGTCGGGTGAACTTCGCACAGACAGAGCTGCTCATCCACGTGGTGAACCGTGATACCAACCGCATCCTGGACGTGGACCGGTGGGTGGGGTCTGGGCTCAGAGCGTCGGCCCACCTCCCTGCCCTGGAGCTGGGGAGGGGACCCCCCCAAGGGAGGCAGATCATACCATCAGGCCAGCTGTGAGGGGGCTCCCCCCAAGAGGTGGGCAGGGCTGGCAGAGAACAGTTTGGGGGTATCCTCCACCCCTCGGAGCCTGACTCTCCCCATCTGTAAAATGGGAGGAGGACACGGCCTGTGAGGCGCAAACAGGATCCTGGGTGAGGCGTGAACTCTGTAAGGCGCGGAGCTCTGCCAGCTGCTGCGGTTTGATCTTGCAAGGCGTGGTGGGGGCGGGGAGTCGGGAGGCAAGAGCGCAGACCTTTCTGCGTGGCCCCAGCTCTGAAGGACTGGCTGAGGGAAGCTGAGGCACCCGCCCCTCACACAGGGTGATCCAGATGATTGACGAGAACAAGGAGCAGCTGCGGAATCTCTTCCGGAACTACAACGTCCTGGACGTGCAGCCCGCCATCTCCGTCCGCCTGCCCGACGACATGTCTGCCCTGCAGGTAGTGCTGGCACCCGGCCCCGCCGCCCCTCTGCCCTCGACGAGCTCACCCACTCATGCCTGGCCCCGTTCCCCCAGATGGCAATCATCGTCTTGGCCATTCTCCTCTTCCTGGCGGCCATGCTCTTCATCCTCATGAACTGGTACTACAGGACCGTGTGAGTGCCCCCCTCCCTGCTCCTGTGACAGTCACAGAGGCCACCAGGGAGATGCCAGCCCTGTCCAGCCTCCTTCACTAGCCCCTCTTCTGTCTGCTTCCCTCCAGACACAAGAGGAAGCTCAAAGCCATTGTGGCTGGATCAGCAGGTGAGCAAGGGCTGTGACTGGGGGTGGGGGGGGCAGCTAAGAGGGTAGGAGGGGCCCTGAGGGGCCTAGAGTGCCTGCCTAGGCCTCACAAGGTTGGCTGGGCTCCCCCAGCCCAGCAGGGTGCACCCCTTCCCTCCATTCCCCAGCAATTCTCCCTACAGGGAACCGCGGTTTCATTGACATCATGGACATGCCCAACACCAACAAGTATTCCTTTGATGGGTAAGTGGGGGTCCCTGAGCCCTCAGGATGTACTTTGGGGAGGCCCACCCATGACCCTGGTGGAGTAAGTGCTCTACCACCCCTTAAGCTCCAAGGGACAAGACTAGCTAAAACTTGGGGTGGGGGTGCCCCCTAGTGGGCCAGTCACCCTTGCTGAGCTAGGATCTACACCCTAACTGGGCTCCCAGTGCCAGGGAACAGGTGCAGAGTGGATACCAAGTGCGGAATGAGGCCTCTGGACCGAAGGTGCTCCAGACTGACACATCGTCCTGGTTCTTGTAGGATCCTAGTGTGGGAGGGTACACCCCCGAGGACCACAGGCAAGGGGCCTGCTTCTCATGGCCCTGACCCACTAGTCCTGGACTGGCCAGGGAAAACGGTAGGGTTAGTGGTGAAGCTCCGAGGGCATCTGTGCACTCGGGCTGTCCCTCCTCACTCCACACGCCCCCTCCCACATGCAGAGCCAACCCCGTGTGGCTGGATCCTTTCTGCCGGAACCTGGAGCTGGCTGCCCAGGCTGAGCGTGAGGACGACCTGCCAGAGAACCTGAGTGAGATTGCAGACCTGTGGAACAGCCCTACCCGCACCCACGTGAGCCGGGGCCAGAGCTGGGGCAGGGCGGTGGCGGGGGCAGGGGCAGGGGCACGACTATGAGGGATGGGATGGAGGTAAAGCAGGTCTTTGCCACTGCTTGCCAAGGAGCTGGGTTCCAGGGGGCACGGGGGGCCATATCCATTGCCCTGTGTGTGTACACAGCCCAGCTGTGCTCCAGCTCGTGTTCTCTCCCCAGGGAACGTTTGGGCGTGAACCCGCAGCAGTCAAGCCTGATGACGACCGGTACCTGCGCGCAGCCATCCAAGAGTATGACAACATCGCCAAGCTGGGCCAGATCATCCGGGAGGGGCCCATCAAGGTGAGTCCTCCGTGCAGGCTCCTGCACCACACCCCCACACAGCCCCGCACCCAGACCTCTGGCGGCACTGGGACCAGCTCCAGAGGATAGAGGGATGGGGGAGGATCCTGGGAAACAACTTTTTCCACCTCTAGGCTCAGGTAGATCTACCCTCTACTGAGCGAGAATGACAGCACAGAAAGGGAGGCCCAGGCATGGGGCTGATGGGGAACTGCTCCAGCCTGCAGCAGCCCACACAGGTTCCAGCTGGTCGCTCTCACCAGGCTCTGCTCCCAATCCTCTACCCTTAGATCAGCTGCCTGTGCACCCGACTACTAGCACCTTCCATCACCCTCATCAGGGTTACGGGAGTGAGGGCTGTGGCAGGTGGGGGGATGGGGAGGCCTTGGTGGGGGGTTAACCCTCTCCCTCCCCCAGGGCTCGCTGCTCAAGGTGGTCCTGGAGGATTACCTGCGGCTCAAAAAGCTCTTTGCACAGCGGATGGTGCAAAAAGCCTCCTCCTGCCACTCCTCCATCTCTGAGGTAGCCGGGCCGGCCCGGAACTGTGTGCTGTGCCCCAGCGCTGGGGGTGCTCATTTCTTCCCTCCCTCCCTCTCTTCCCTGAGCCACGCTCATCCTTCTCAGAGTCTCTGTAGAGTTCAGCAGCCAGAGCAAGACAGCAATGGGTGGGGTCCAGGAAGTCGACTTTCCGGGTTTCTCAGTGGGCTTTCCCAGGGGGCTGCTGGGGAGTGTTTCTTAGACTCACGGAGCCCCAGAAGATGCCCTGAAAGAGTAATGCCCTCAGGAAACTGCTCACAGTCAGATGGATCTATATAGTGTTGTTTGCCTGCAGTAATGTCAACACTTTAAAAATTCAGACTTTATTTAAAAACCCAGATTTCCCATTGGGCCAACAGTTCCCAAATGGAATAGGCCAGAGCAAACAGATCCACATGGGTCAAAAGTGCCCCATGTCGAGTTTCCACTGAATCCTATCCCCCTTTCCAACTTCCCCTATCGACACTCCCTACCTGGCCAGAGTGGATCCTGTTGGAGGACACATGGGTAACATCCAGATACAAAAACTGCATCGTAGGATCTTTATAGATCATGAAACAAAATTCATGATTCTCATGGGAAACCCACATGCTAATAACTCGGCTATAACACCCTAAGTGTCCATGGTGTACCCGTTTGAGAAACACTCATCAGCTGACAGGCCTACTGATGTGTGAACCCTGAGTTCCTTGCAGCTACCTGTGTGCAGTAGGGAGGAAACAGGGACAGAGCAGGTTCAGGACTCTGGGGCCATTCACCTGCTCAGCCCTTGAGCATGGCCTTGAGCGTGGAGTGGCTTGAGTCCCAGAGCCATTGGGGGATCCTGGCCTCTTGCAGCTGATCCAGACCGAGCTGGAGGAAGAGCCAGGGGAACGCAGCCCCGGCCAGGGCAGTCTGCGCTTCCGCCACAAGCTGCCGACAGAGCTCAAGGGGCCCGACGGCATCCACATGGTGCACGGCAGCACCGGCACACTGCTGGCCACGGACCTCAACAGCCTGCCCGAGGACGACCAAAAGGGCCTGGGTCGCTCGCTGGAGACCCTGACAGCCACAGAGGCTAGCGCCTTTGAGCACAACGCCCGCACAGAGTCGGCCAAATCCACGCCCCTGCACAAGCTTCGGGATGTGATCCTCGAGAGCCCCCTGGAGATCACAGAGCTATGACCAGATAGCCGAGGGGGTCTCACTGGTGTCTCCCATCCCTCCCAGGGCAGGGCGGGGCAGGACCACAGTGCAGACCCCTCCCCAGGCCTGCAGGGGCTGCACCACCTCACGAGGGCCTGGGGGAGCCCGCTCTAGCGGCTCACATTCCACTTTTGCCAGACGCCCATTCAGCACCTGACCTCTACCTTCATAAAATTTGTTATTTTTTTAAGAAAACCAAACAAAAAATGATAAGCGTCTAAGGACAAGGTAAGGAGGGTCACTGGGGGCCCAGGAGTCTGAGAACAAACTCAGCCCAAGCTGAACTCTAAGAGGCCAAGCAGCCCTCTCTCCTCCCCTCCCCACATCCCTATCCACTGTCCCCACCCCAAACCCCTCCCCAACTTCCAGCACCAGGGGAGGGAGACCCAGAACTGGCGTACCCCACCTGGCCTTGACTTCCTGATTTCAGTCCACGTCCCAGTGCATTTCTAGCACATCTCTGGCTGGACATCCAGCCAGGAGCTGTGAGTGATTCCGGCCTCCCCACATGGACATGACCAACATCCATGAACTGTGTTCTCTACATTCCACAGGCTTCCCAAATGCGCCCATCTCATAAAGAGAAAGGACTGGTATTCCCTTCGGTTCTGAATGTAGAGTGTTTGTGTGTATTCCTTTTTTAAATTAAGTTATTCCCTCAACATTTTCCCCTTGATTTTGTTTGGTACTCACTGAACGTTTCTGGAATGGTCTGCATTTTAAATAAGAAAGGCAACTCACAAGGTTGGACAATTGTGGCTCCAGTAAACTACCCTCGGGTTTGGCCTGGGGAGAGGGAGGGGCCTGGCCCATCAGAGAGGAGCCTGGTGGGATTCTCTGCCCACTCTGCTTGCTTTCTGTGGCCAAGAAGGGCCAGAGGGCCGCTGGACACCCACACGCCCGTGGCCCTGGAGCGCTCAGAACCCGAACGCTGGCTAAGTGTTACGGAAGCACTCAGGCTCAGGTCTGGTTAACAGACTTTATTTATTGTTAAATCACAGAAACTTTAGTGCAAAACAAACCAAAACAGTCATTACGTCCATTTAATAGCCAACTGCACGTCTCGCTGTCTCCTGGCAGCTAGAAGTGGAACAGAAGAGGCGGCTACACGGAGAGGTGGAGCAGCGGCCAAGGCCTGGACAGGACGCCTCCACCTGACAGCCAGAGGCTTAGGAGTGTCTCGTCCACATTCATCTCAAGGTCAACAAGAACATCTATGAAACGGGGGGGGGGGGGGTTAGAGGTGAGGGGCCCAGAGCCAAGGGCAGAGCTAGAAACGCTCGAAGCAAGACTTCAGCAGCTGGGTGGACACAAGAGCAAGCAAGAGGCGGCCACCACTGTCCACACACACAAAAGCCAGGCCCCCAGGACCTACACGCAGAGCTAGCAGATGACATTCAGGCAGGTGCTCCCCCTCCCTCCCACACCCACAGAACCCCGAACAAGGCATCACCAGGAAAGACACCCCAAAGCTGAATTGGAGGGTGACCTGGGGACGGCGAACCCGAGATCCACCCAGGCCTCCCGAGCAGCTGCCTCCTGCATCTCCCCTACAGTGAGAACCACGTGGTTTTTAAAAGCCTCATTATTCTGAGCCTCTAATCTTTCATATAAAACTGCCTTTGTTTTGCTTCTCTGTAGAGCGGCCCAGGAAGAGGGGAGGTCCCTGCTCAGGGGTAGGTGGAGGGCTCAGAACAAGACCCAGGCCAAGAGAACCAAGAGCCTTCTGGCAAGCAGCTCTGGCTGGCACCCGCCCCCAGAGCTCGCCACCGCCACCTCCAGGAAGCCACCACGCAAGGGCAGGCTGAAAGCCCTCCAGTGCACAGTCCGTCCTCAGCTGTCTAGGCAAAGGAAAGGGACAGTGGAGCAGCAAGGGCAGCTGCGGGCCAGGCGCCTCCTGCACGGACAGCAATGCTACAGGGGACAGGAAAGGGAAGGAGGAAAAGGGGACCTATTTTTGTAACACAATCAACAGATCGGTGTGTTCACTGCCCCAGACACACAAGTAGAAAAAGATGCTGCAGTTTCTCCAAGATGGAACGCCCCTTCTAGTTCCACACGTGACGTTTGCAGTGCTCCACGGCCTGACAGGAGAGAGGAAGCTGGATTTAGTCTCACATGACAAACCCTACTCCTGGCCTGTTCGTGCAGCAGACAGCACCCAAAAATGGAATCTGTTCTCCTTAGCTGGACAGCACCCCACTTAAAACTGGGGAGCAGGTGGCCCCCTGACCGTCAGGGACCCCTGAGGCAAGAGTCCAAAACAGCAGCTGCAAAGTGCCTGAGCGTTTCACAGGTGAGCCACCCATGCAGGGAGGGCCTGGGACCCCTCCATCTGGTTACAGGCAGAGTCCCAGCGCTCAGCAGGCGGCACGGAGGCCCCCCCAAGGCAGAAGCCCTCACCCAAGAGCACGCACACCAGCTGAGGCCTCATGAACAATGGCCTACAGGCCCCTTGACCCAGGACGGCAGCAGGAAGTGGCTCCTCCCGACTGTGCCATGCGCTGGGGCCAGCGGGGCAAGGAGCTGGACCCGGGTGGCCATCACCACCCCTTCCCTGCAGGGGCCCGAAGTGACACAATTGGGCCAGTAGTCCTGAGGACCTGGTCATGAGGAAACCACTCCAGGAAGAAAAAGTTGCGCAAAAGAACATTAAGTAACCGACTGGTCCACACGTCCCCACCCCAGGAAGCAGTGTGGGGCACCACCGCTGGTGGCCCGGGCAGGACAGCGCCAGTGGTCTGGGAACTGCTGGGCAGGCACCCAGTCTCAAGGCCACTCAAGAACAGCGGCTCAGCCTTGGGTGAAGACTCAGGCCAGGCTCCAGCCAAGACTGACCCAAGGGAGAAGAGGACTTGTGCAATCTCTAGGGTGGCCTTGTGCAAATCTGATCCTGACCCCGTCACAAGGGAACTAAAGGCAAAAAAACAAGGAAGCAGAAGCAAAAAACACTGCAGAATACACCCAACCCTTCATTTCTCCAAGGCCAGAAGGCTGTCAGTCCCCCAGCCTCGATGCGCGGCCACGAACAAGCCTGCTTGCTCCTCTGGGCACACAGGCCGGGCAGAGCGCCGATGGCGGAGCCCCCCCTCCGCCGGGGTTGCCCACCCCGGGAGGCAGCCTGCCCGCCAGGCCTGTGCAGCGGGCGCCAAGCTACTCACGTTGCACTGGGTCGCTGCCTCCATGTTCTGGCACCAGTAGCTGGGGCCCCACACACACTTCTCGGTTCCCAAAAGAGGCTTACGGGCCGCGGGGCAGGCTCCAATTTTCTGTGTGGTGAAAAAGGGGGAGGAATTAGATCTACTCCAATGATCCTTTTCAAAACTAAAGATTATCAGCTTCTAGAAGCAACAGGAACTAGAGTTCAGACGTGCACTTCCAAAAAGTCAGTGTCCTCCCACAGTCCATCCCCCGAGAGTCTCCAGAACCTCTGAGGACCCCTGCTCCGTGCAGAACCAGCCGGGCCCCACGCCGCCCAGGAGCTTACCAAGCATACGAAGGAAGGGTCCATCACCTCCACCAGCACTTCTATCAGCACGGGCTCGTACTCAGTCACAAACTGATCACACTGTTCGGTAAAGAGGGAGACGGGTCCAAGCCGAGGTGGGGCGCTAGGCATGCTCTGCCAGCCCGGCACCCCCTTCCCAGATAGCCCACCCGGCCACGTTCAGCTTCCCCACACCTGCTTCTGCTACTGCTACTGCCCCTCCATGGCTCCCCTTGAGCCAACAGATACCTCTAAGAAATGGCTAGTTTTCCCTGAAAAACCTCAATCGGGGGCACAATCAGTGAGCCACCCCAGCCTCTGCACTCCACCCGCGGGTTCTGACCTTCTGGCCCCAAGCAGCCCGGGGCATACCTGCTTCTGGTAGGGGTCAGGAAGGAAGCTGCAGCCTTTCTCGAGAGCAGCCAGGATCTCCTGCTTCGTGCTGTTTTTCTCCAGGTTGTGGTCCAAATAGCTCACCAGCTTCTTGCACACCTCACAGAAGCCGCCGTCCTTCGGCTGAATGACACGGACTACACACAGAGGCACAGGCTCAGTGCCGGCAGGGTCCTCCCGAGCCCCAGGGGCCGGCCGGCCACCCCCTCACCCCTCTCACCAGGCAGCACGGGCAGCCCCTGGGTGGGGCACAGGTGGAGCAGGGCGCACACCAACTCAGGGCTCGCCTCCTGCAGGAGGATCGACAGGATGGAGGCGCCGTACGTGTCCACCACCTCCTGGCACTGTTCAGATAAGGACTTAGGCAACTTTGAGCACACTTTATCCAAAGCCTGAACTATTTCTTCCTGAAACACAAAACAAGAGGATCCTATTAGAAGAGGAGAGGCTGATGGGGCCAGAAAAGATTCTCAAAATATTAACATCCAAGAAACCAGCCAACAGCAAGGTGCTATTTCCTCCCCAGAAAGATGAGACCTACAAAGCAGCCCCACCCCAGCCCAGAGGGACCCACCGGTGGGCAGCGGGTAAGCAGATTCCAAGGGCTGCTGTCCAATGCTGGCAAGGGCCAAGCCCACCTCTTCTGCTGGTTCTGCCACTAGGGAACGGGAACACTCGAGCATTCTAGAAATGCACATACCTCAGTCCTGTTGTTGTCAATGAGCTTGGCCACCTCCTTCACCACGTACTCGCATATCTCACAAGTAACACTGGTCTTCGCCTGGACCATGTCCTCCTGTGGGAAGGGCAGGAGAGCACATTAATGCCGAGACCCTCACCTCACCCCTGAGTCCTGCTGCTCTAAAGGGGAAGAGACACCCTGTGGCCAAGGACAGGAGAATGTCACACAAAGGTTAGCTTCCTCCCAGTGTCCAAGTTCCTGTCCCTGACCCATCCCTCTGCCCACTGCTCTTCCACCACTATCTCCTGCCACGCATCACCCAGCCCCACAGAAAAACCAGGAATTCGTACTTCAGGAGACAGAAGCAAAGAAACCATCCCCTGACCCCTAAGAACAGTCCACATGTTCTATCTTACCTGGTCACAATCATTTATTTCAGCCTTCCAGAGTCATTCTGGGAATGTGGGTGGGGGCGCAGGACAGAGTGAGGACTCACTACCTGTCCGCTATTTACGAGACACAGCTCTAAACACATTTCAGGTCTGCTCTGGAGTTTCAAGTCTCACTCGTACCTGAGACTGCCTTCCTAGACCAGCCCTGCATAAACTAACACTGAGAAACAACCCTCTGTGAGAGCAGCAACATTCTCCAGCTCTGCCATCCAGCAGAGCAGCGCGGGCCACACCTGTTTATGAAGTACTCGGAATGTGACCAGGGTAACATCAAACTAAATCGTTTCAAGTTTTGTGTTATTTTACTTAAACGTAAGTAGTCACAAGCAGCTAGAAGATAAGCTCTAACTCTCCTTCATCTCCTCTGGCTATTAATTCAGTCAGCAAAACTGGGCAGGCAGAAGTGCCTCCCCAACTCCATCTGACTTCTTAACCATGTGGTCCAGACACTGCACTTGCTGAGGGAGGACAGGAGAGGGAGACGAAACCGCTAAAGGTCAAGTGACATGGAAGTCCTGGAACTAGAATCGTGTGCGTGTGCCTGGGCCATGTGGTAAAATGTCATGAGGCCCGGCCCTTCTCAGAACTAAAGCGGGAGCCACGCGAACACCAGGACAAGTCTGCTGACTCCTGCAGGTGAACAGTTTCAGGACTCAATCTCTAACACACTGCCAGGGCCGTAGCAAGTGCTGAGTGTAAAGTGGGGAACATGGTGTTCTCTAGCAACGGGTGCTAGGGAAACCACACACACCCACCCCGTGCACACAAGCAGCACACCAAGAGGTTTCTGCGTGAGCCCCAGGTGTTCTGGGGACATGAGGCTTGTGCTGCAGTGACCATGGGTAGGGCAGCGGCAGCGGGGGGGTGGGGGCAACATGTCAGAGGAGGCTGTGGACACGCTACGGATGGAGGCTGTTCCCGTGGGGCACTCGGGCTCCTAACCAAGGAAATAAATGTACTCAGGGCTGGGAGCAGGAGGCTGCACATGTGCAGGGACCCCAGAGACTAATGAATGGTCTCAAACTCCAATACCTATAGGAGTCAGGCAAGGAACCAAAAAAGTGTGTGCCTCACAGAACGCGGTACAATGTGGAGTGGCCTGCGCATGACACGGGCCCAGCCAGGACAACATGAGGACACACGGTACCTTAATGGGCTCCACCAGTTCCAATGCAGGGATGACGTTCTCTGAGACCACTTTGGCAGGGATCAGAGTCTGCATGGGCATCTCCTTCACTTGGTCACAGAACCCAACCAGGCCACAGATGTCTTTGGGTTGCTGAGAAGGCACAGAACAGTCAGACGTAGGCCCGCACCCACATCCCTCAGTCCCACTCTCTACACACAAAGGACGGGATGCTGAGGGAGCACCCTGGTCACACGTCAAGCCTGACTGTCAGAGCAGACTCCATGTTAAATCTAGAGGGACTCCTGTAAACGCAGACATGTCCGTTTCACACAGGGAGGAGGCCGCGCAAAGCTCTGAAGGGAAAGCAGACAAGACGGCTGTCCCTGCTCCAGCCAGGGAGCAGCCCTGCGAAGTTAGACTACTGCCACCGGTTTCCCTTGTCCACAGGCAATCACATCTTCTCCCAGGACACCTGGTCTGCTCTAGAACCTGTTTTTCGGTCGAGCTGGTTCACTCTCAGTAGGAAATAATCTGCGAGCTCTTTCTAGAGGAGAAGCCACCATGCCCACAAACAGAAAGCCAAGTGTCTTAAAATCTTTCGGTGGCAGGGCCATTTCGAGGAGGAAAAAAAAAAAAAGGTTGACTTTTTTGAAAAACCACATTCTATTTTTGTAATTACACAAACACAGTACACACAAAAACCCAATGCCCCTGAGTAATGAATTCTTTCAGGTCACAGAAGCCCCAGACTTATCCCCTTTCCCATCCAGACACCAAACCACAGAGAAGTAGGCAGAACTAGTAACTTGGACATCTTGCCGTTTCACCACGATGCGGGCCAAGAGTGAGAAAGTCATGTGTGCTTTACACAAAGCACTTTGTGAGCCCAAATGCAACCAGAGCCCAGCTCTGGGCCTGAGAGCAACTGCCTCCCACCACCAAACCAGAAAGCAGCAGGCCAGGACTGCTAACACGAGACCTGTTAATGCAAGAGAGCTAGACCATGGCTATGGCTGACCTTGTTTTAATCCTGAGAAGTCTCTAGATTAAGTAAGATTGAGGAAGTTGGAAAGTATCCTAAATATCCTGTCTCCGGCACACTTCAAGAATGGGGAGAAAACCAGAATGGGGCCAAAGACACAGCAAGCTTTTTAGAAAAAAGATAAAGACGCAGGAGGTGTATGGCTGCTTTGCCTCAGAAGAACTCTGTTCTCCTTCCTCAGATGAACTCTCTTCCACTGGGTGGGGCAGTTTAGGTGAAAATACAGGTATTTCAGCCGAAGTCGTCTCCTATTAAACTTCAAAATACCTTTGAAAAATCTTTACTTGCACAGAGATGTCAGTGCTCAAGAGAGGGTCCTGGCTCAGTAAGTACAGTCTGGGGGTGTAGTCCCAATATTAAGCCACCACTGGCCTGGCTCTCGAGCCATCTGTGTGGCTCCAGGAGGGGCAGGACCCCATCACCCAGAGGGGCAGAAGCACAAATCAAGAGATTGTTTCCAACTCTCTGGATCCAACAGACGGGAACAGTCTGCTCGCTCTTTGTAAATGATTTGCTCATGCAGCAGAAGCAATTCTGGGGTTATGGAAAACAGGACTGAAGACATGCAATGGTCCCTCGAGTCATGACAGAAACAAGGTGTCCTACCAGCAATCAGGCCTACAGTCAAGGAGGCCAAGGCAGCTCCGGGGTCACCTACTGTCCCCGTCATCACACGGGTGGCATGCACATGGCCAGCTCAGCGCTGGCTTTTTTGCCAGAGTCCAAGGCCCTGCTGGCTTCCCTTTCTCACCCCCTGAAGGGGAGAGGAGACCCCCCAGGACCTCAAGTGCTACATCACAGGGGAGAGATGCAGAAGCTCCCCCACCAGCCTACTAACACAGATCATGCCGTTAAAAAAAAAAAAAAAGGCGAAATAACTACAAGCAGCAGACCACCACTACAAGCAAATTCCCCATCACATACCTGATCCTGCTGTTGAACAAAAAAACAGGAAATCGGAGATGAAAATAAGAGAAAGGAAAGGACACAACAGTTAAGAAAAAATTAAAATAACAATCAGTTAACGAAGGAGTAAGTACATCACCAGAAATTCAGGGGAAACCTTGCAGTCACAAATCAGCAACCTACCTTGTTCCTACTATCTTGGGGGGTCCTGAAAGCTCTTCTGGCCCTCAAGGGACAGACCACACTGTCCAGCTGGTGTGTGCATTGTCCCCATGCCCTTGACACACCAAATCATACTCAAAAACACCGGACAGCAGATCCCAGAAATTGCCAGGTGATGAGGAGCTATCCTCACAAGCCCAAGCCCCACATGCCTACAAGGTAAGGAGCAGCAAAGGGGAACGTGACACAGGCCTGTCCAAGTCAGGGGTGTGCGCTGGAATATAAAATACACCCAGGGGGCCGGGGATCTGGAACCACTTCCCCTGCTGCCCGGGCCACAGGGCAACTACCCCAGGGAGCCAGATGCCAGACTGGAAGGCCCATTTAACAAAATATCACTTACCCTTTGATTCAGCAATTCCAGTTCTGGTTATCTGTGCTAAGGGAGAAACAGGGATCTGCACATCTATCTCTCTGACTGTAAGGGGGAGCCTCATGCTTTCGATCCCCAAGACAAACCCCAAAGCCCCCTCAACACCCAAAGCAGATGGGTCACAGAAATGATCTTCCATCCACACGGAAGCCTATGCAGCCACTTCAAAATCATTTACAAGAATGTTTAACGACCGATGCATTCAGAAGCAAAAGTATGCAAAGTACTAGGTTTGAAGTAATATATAACCATGCTACCTCACTGCCTTTTTTTTTTTAAACCGCAAATGATCTGTGATTTGGGAAGTATTATCTGTATTTCCAAAAAACATCTGTGTAGTCTATCTTTTATATTGAGAAAATTTTCAGTTATCAATGACGAAGCACTTAACCAAATCAAAATCAAAGGCTTATTTATCTCCTACTCTAGCCCTGTGTCTCTGTAAGCTGCCTCTGAAGCACTCTGAGAACAAGGCAGGGTGTAATAATCCCAAAGACACCCTCTCTCGCCTGGCCGGAGCCCCTGAGCAGTTACAGCTAGGCCACATCAGTCTTCCCCCTGTGCCGGCTGGCAGCTCTCAGCTCTGCAACTCTGCAGTCACAGCCCGGACGGGAGGAGGATCACTGTGCTCCAGTGAAACTTTACACAACCAGGCGGTGGGCCACACAGACTGCTGACCCCAGCTGGAGAACAAACTCAGCATGGTCAGAAAGTCGGCAGGATGGAGACACAAAACCCACCACCCCCCTAGGCCCCCGCAGCTTCGATCTCAGGAAGCCAGGGCACGTCCCCAATTTAAGAATCCGTTCAGACCACGCTGCTCTGAACCAGTTTTCTGCTCGGAGCTAGCGAGCCCCACTGCCACAATCAGTATCTTCTGCCTCTAAGGACGCAGGGCTGCCCTGACCGCCTGGATGCATCAGAAGCACATGCAGACAGGTCTCCCCACGCCCCCAAACTCCAGCCACAACGTAGCAATTCTCAGGCCTGGCCTAGCTCCAGAGCAGACGATTCCCACAGGTCCCAGGGTAAAAGCCAGACGCTAGAAACCCGATGACCAGCCCAATAGGCACAGGCCAACTAACCACCCAGAAGCTACCAGGGCAGTCCTGGGGGGAGGAAGGGGGGGACTGCCTTAGCCTGTCCCCTGGCCGGGGAAGGTAAGGGGGGCACTGAATTGTGGGTAGAGAGTCTGCTGGTTGAACAAGGTTCACTTTAACCCAAATCGTTATCTGAGGGGAGAAAAGGAAAACTAAACCATGTAATGTTCAAAAACCTGGGAATCACAAAGTTTGAGGCAAAGAGTGCTAACAGGGAACGTCGCGCCACCTACCATGTGCATCATCATCTGGACGGCAATGTCCGAATACTGGTTGATATAGTTCTTGCACTGGAGAGAGAGAAATCGGTTGTTAGTGACACTAATCGTTGCAATCACACACCACAAACCCAGCGTGTCCAACAATGGCAGCGAGTGACTATCAAGTTTCCCAGAGTACAGTCTTACAAACATCTTGAAATAAAGATGGCAATTTGTTTATCCTAAACCTCATAGGAAAAGGTGTGCAAAGGGTGTTTTGAAAATGTGTCCCGAAGGCTCTTAGAGAGGAGGTCCTCCAATCTCCTTTTACAGCCCGAACTCGCCCCAAGTTCACAGAGGAACTTCTCAGGAGCAGTTCTGAACGTGGGTATCAGACATGCTACTGTGAACTCACGGTGACTTTTCAAACCCGCTCATGCATTCCTGGCCAAGATTATAAAGCTAAAATCCAGGAGGAATCAAGTTATGATTTTCAGCAAACTTCCTTTCATCCACATCTAGATAATTCATTCCGGTAGACCCTCACAGAAGAGTTCTGGCCACACTGGTGCCCCCACAGTGAGAAGGCCAAGGGTAATGACAGCCCTCAGAACAGGACTGAGCTGGGGAAGCACGTTAACACAGCGATATACAAAGATACTTCAAGAAGGCCAAAAGCCTCCCCGAGGAAGTCCTCCGGGAAGAACCCAGAGCTCCCAGAACCAGCCACTCCTACCCAAGAAGGCTGCTCTAGGTCCTAGATCCATGGACTTGTACAACCAGCTTCCCTACATCTAGTCTAGCCAAGGTTTTTCTGTTGCCAGGTATAAAACTAGCACTTGGGTTTCACACATCAACTTCACACAAGTGTGGTTAATGTGTATAAGGTCCAAGAAGTGAAATCCTCTAAGAGACTAACAAAATGAGTTTCTTAGCCTGTAGGATGAACATTCACCAAGGTAAGGAAGGCGTCCCGGGTGAACCTCTTGTGAGCCCCCGCACGGCTTCCCATGGACAAACCCCCGGCTATGGGGAGAGCACACTCAGAATTATACACAACAGCCAGGCTTTTAAAAACAAGGTTATAAAGGATTCTAGTGTTGTTTCTCATACATACAGTGCCTGGGAGGAAAATCCTCACAAAACAAATCCTCACAAAAGTGGTCTCCTTCCACTCTTTTATCCCAAGTGTTTGGTTACACATACACATTCAACCAGGCAACAAAGCATTTAAGTAAACAAGTATTCCAGATGCTTTCTGGGGAAAAGAAAGCGTGCGTTGTTTGAACCATCTCTTCCTCGAAGCTCTGGGGTGAGAACTTAAAATGGTACCTCAGGAACTGAAGTTTTCTTGGGTCCCCCCTCCTATGTCCAGAGCCCAGCTCCCTGGCCCAGAGCACCCCCACCATGCATGAGGAGACAAGATTTACCATGTCAGCCATGCCGGGCCCCAGGAGATCACACTGTGCCTTGGCATGGTCCACCAAAGCTTCAACAAAGGTGGAGTTGGTCCTTACAGCGTTCTGGATGTCCGTCACCATCTGGATGCAGTCCTGGCAGACGTCCCCACCAGCCTACAGAGAAGGGGCAGCAGGGGGCAGGGCTGTCAGGCGTAAACACAGCACAATCCTAGGATCACTAAGAGGATCCAAATTCCCAAGAAAATTTCCTTATGTGTTCATGACCACAGCACTAGGGAATGAATGACCGAATGGTTCTGTGTTTTTAAAGTTTGTGTATTTTTTTTTAATAATGGCTATACCCAGTACAGCACTTGAACCCACAACCCCGAGATCCAGAGTTACACGCTCCACCAAGTGAGCCAAACAGGTGTCCCAGCTCTGGTTTTATAGGCTCTAAAATTATCAACAGGCTTAAAATCAATTAAGTACTGATTTCAATACATTGAACTGCAATGGAGAGAAGTCTTTGCATACTTTAAATATCCCAAGTTCTTCGGAACCTCCACGGCACAACCATCTGAAGTGTGGTTCAGGAGACTGCAGGTCAAATGAAGGAGTAAGCCCCCAGTTTGAGGAACACACACACACACACACACACACACACAGCGCCCCTCTCATGGGTCATCTCTAATCCAACCAGAAACAGGGCCCTCAGCGGCTGGGCCTACAGCCTTACCTTCTGCTGGGGCTCGCTGTGGGGGCCATCCTGAGGGTAGAGGAGGAGGGGGATGTTGGCCATGAAGGGAGCCACCACCTCAGCCACATCCAGTTCCGGGATCTTATTGGACTCGAGCTGTTTCTGGTGATTCAATTCTGCCAGGTGCTTCTGAAGAGACTCGCAGAGATTGAGAGCGGAGCACACCTCCCCAGGATGGCTCTAGTGGGGAAGAAGTCCAGCTGGAAATCCTCTCCCCCAAAGGAAAACAAAACCACTGCCCAGCACCCCTGAATGAGTCTCTGTCCTCACCTCCTGGCCTGACTCATACACGCTATGCCCTGCTCACAAAACCACCCAACCTGCTCCCCACTCCACCTCCACTTTTAGCAAATGGCTTCCCCACTCAGCTCCCAGCAGCTCAAGCCAGAGACCTGGCAGACATTCCTGACTCTTCCCTCCGCCCCTCCCCTCCCTCAGCAGGTCCTGCCCATTTCTCCCCTGAAACAGAACACGCATCTGTCCCGCTTCACTGCCCCATCACATCTCACAAAGATTGTCCTGCCAGCCTCCCCTCTTCCAACTCCCAACTGGTAGGACCTAGACCAAACCCTTCAAAGAAGGCACCTCTGATGTCACTTCTCCCTTGAGCCCTCTGAGGACTTCCTACTGCATTTGCAATCCTGGAACACTGCCAGAAAGGCCTTGCACGGTGTGACCCATTCCATTCTCATTAAAACCTTGGTCCAGCCTCGGAACACTCCTTCCCTGCTGGCCCGGTTTTCTGAGCACCTCCTCTTTCTTAGGGTCTTTCCTAATTCCACAAACCCGGCTCGTCTGTGGCACGTGGCTTACGCATGGTAGATGCTTATCTGAATGCAAGCAGAACCCGTCGCTGAGTCCACTCAAGATAAAATCCCAGAAATGGAATGAACTGCATGCTCAAAGGGAGAGCTAAAGCTATGACATGAGCTAGCAAACGGGCACGTATAAATGTTGTAGCAGTTTACAATTCCTTCATTCTTCCAGTTTCCATTTCCTGTACTCTCCCTCAACCGAAGGTTACACGCACAGTGTTCTGAGGGCCAAAGCCATCTGCAGATGTCAGAACTGCAGTGACAAGCTGTTGAGAAAATCCAAATCCATGGAAGGACTTTCCGCTTTCATCATTCTGTTCTGGCCTGGCACCTCCCACAGCACCCGAAGTTCCCTAAAGAGTCTTTCCACCACCACATACCATTTGTCCTTTAATCATGTCCAGGATGACTGGGAGGTAGGAGTCAACCATCTCCCTGCACGAAGCAGACAAGTTCGGATTAGGCAGCCAGTCACAGGTCTTCTCCAAGTACACGAGGATCTCTTGCTAAGAGGATACAGGCAACAGTCGGATCAGGATGGACTTCTGCTCTGCAAAGGACTGAGAGCAGGGGACCTCCACACCTCCCAGCAAACAGCAGCCTCAGGGAAGAGCCCGGGAGAGGCCCAGTGGCTGGCCGTGGCTGCATCAGACACACAGGCAAAAAGCAGACGATCCTCGAAATGAGGCCGCTCTGACCTGCGTCTCACAGGCACAGGGAACTCTGAGCAGAGACAGCCAAAACGGACCTAAAAGTAGCCACCAGCAATATGAAAATCCCCATCAACCCTGGGCATGTAAACACTGAGGCCAGGGAACAGCCAGCCAGGTCCCACAGCTTGTTTCTGCTCAGCCTGTGGCTCAGGATGGCTTTTACATTCTGAAAGGATGTGGGGCGAAAAGAAAAAAACCATGTGACAGAAGACATATGTGGCTCACAAGATCTGAATTACTTCCTACCTGGCCCTAGACCATCCCTCGTTAGGCCCCAAAGCCCCAGAAAGCTCTTGTAAGGAACAGACACACATGGCCGTGTGGCCACTGTGCACGCGTGGTCACACATCCCGTTGGAGGCTCACCTCAGTGGCATTGTCTTTCAGCATGTCGCCAGCTGCAGTGATGACATCTTTGCATATGTCGCAGGGAAGGGATTTCTAAGAGGAAGAATATGAGAGAGAGAGCGAGCTGTATTTGCAGGATGTAACACACACCGTACAGAGCTGAAAAGCCCCCCAGCCTCTGTGCTATCCTATCTAACCAGGGATGTCGGACACACAGGCACATCCTGGTTCCCCAACCTAGATAAGAAGCACACAGATGCCACGTGGGAAGGATCGGAGGCACTGACCAGAACACTCTGTGCTTCTAGGGATAGATACCCTTTTCTTGTACCCCTTTCTATGCCTCTGCACACAGGGCACAGGCCAAATGTCATACTAATGCTCGCAACAGCTCCAGGAAGAAACTGAGGCTGGAAAGGTGAAAATCAGAGCAGCAGAAATTAGAGAAAACCAGTCACCTGGGGCCAGCATCACCATAAGACAGTAAAAGGTGGTGCGGCGGCGAAGCCCAGCCAGACACTGGCACCGGCTCCTGCACTCTGTCCCCTTCCAGCTCCCAGGGGCTGCTATGTTCACGTGGAAGCCGTATGTCGCCACCCCAGAGCTTAGAAACATCACACCCATTTCCTGAGAAGCCTGGGCACCCATGGCCCCATGTGGCCCAGGACATGGAGATTCTAGCTGCTTCTTGAGGCTCGTGGGAAGCTTCCATCTTAAGGGCAACTGATTTTCAACCCACGAAGAAGGAACTAACACGTCTGGGTGATAAGAAGGAACACCTGTAACCTAGCTGCATGGAAAGAAATCTATCTGAACCTCCGGGCCTTGTGAGGCTAATACCAGATTCAGGCACTCCTGAGACTGCCATATCAAAAAAAAAAAAAAAGAGCTGAGCGCCTGGGTGGCTCAGTTGGTTGGGCATCCGCCTTCCACTCAGGTCATGATCCCAGGGTCCTGGGATCAAGTCCCACATCAGGCTCCCTCCTCAGCAAGGAGCCTGCTTCTCCCCCTGCTTGTGCTCTCTTGTTCTCTAATACATACATAAAATCTTTAAAAAAGAGAGAGAGAGAGAGCTAAGTCCTCCCCTGTCACATGCTGAATTTGAAAAGAGGAAGCCGTATTAAAAACGAGATGAGAAACAAATTAGAAACCAAATCAGAAAGTAATTTTGGCCACAGATGGTAGTGATCCAGCAAATTCAGAAAGTATTTCTAAAAGAACAGGGTTTTTAATTGTTCTTCTCATAATGAAGCAGCTCTAGTGGCCACTAGTGTCAAGTTTTCGACCTGGAACTCCACGCAGTCAGAGGCAGCCCAGAGCGAGCCAGGCCTGCATTCTGTAGTCAGCTGGTGCAGCTCGGGCTACTCCCGAGAGGGGTTCTGGTGGTGGGAAGAATGCCCCTGAGCCTTGTCACCTCTGAGTATTGTTCTCCATGAGCATTAAGAGCCCCGTATTAATATGCTATATTTAACACCATTTGGATGAAAAATCAGTAGCATCAAGCTTGCTTCGGCAGCACGAAGGGGATGATACAGGTGGGATGGGCCCAGAGGCCCGGAAGGCAGCATGGGGTGCACACAGTAGTGGCCATGGGCGGACCTCATCCTCTGCCACCAGGAGACTCAGCGACCTCAGGGGAAGAGAACCTTAACCTCTCCGAGACTCCGTTTCCACTGCGCTGAAACGGATGCACCCCGCAACAGGGAGTGCCTCCCCAGAAGGGCCACCGAGAGGAGCAAATGAAGTGAGACGAGAGCATGCTTTGGAAGCTTTCGAAATGGCCAACAGCTCCAGACCACGTAAGGAGATCAGGTACAGTCCCCACGGCACTCACCACCGTCGGCTTGTTCCAGACAGTCTGCAGGCAGTGCTTCAGGGCCCCGCAATCAGCTGCCGTCTTCACATTCTGGCACCACACCGCCGAGCCTCTAGTGCATTCCTTCAGGCCCAGGACAGGGCTGGCTAAAGCTGAAAGAAAAACCAGCATGAGAAGGCGGCCCCCCTCACACAGCTACCCAGGGTGAAGGACACACCAGCTCAGCCCCTGTGGTGCACAAACCACACAGCGGCATTGGCTCAAGAAGCTCGGGGACCATCTAAGTCCAACTAAGTCACAGGGCCGGGAGGGACTAATTTGCCTGGCGTGCCTTTTTCCTCTTGAACTATGTCTAAACAATAATCTTTATAACCTCAAAAATCTTCCATGAATAAAAGAAATCATGGGAGAAAACTCTGACAGATTTAATTTTAGAAAATTTCAACTTCTATAGAATTTTTTTAATCTGTAGGGAAAACAAGATTCATATCCTTGTTACACAAACAATGACTCTTAATGTTCTAGTAGAAGAGCTCTTTTATAAATCAAACTTCATAAACAATTCTACCAACAAAAACCCTCCGTGATTCCCCTCTGGTACCACCTAGCAAACAGGTGTCCACTCAAAACCGGGTGCACGGCCTGGCACCTGCTGTGAGTGTGAACAAAGGGCTCGGGCAGAAGTCACATGTGCAGAAACAGGATGAGGGAAAAACACAAGAACTGCTCCAAGTCCCTTAGAACCAAAGATACACAGGTTACAGCAAGAAGGTGCCGTATTTTGAAAGTTAAATAGCCAAAGGGAAAAAAAGTGACAAGCCTATAGTAAAATAGGCATTTGTAAGGCCAGTAAGTGTGACTGGTAAGAACTTCTTAATATATTAATGTATGTCAGAAACTGGAGGGGAAAAATCCCTCTTCAAAAAAGTAATCCAGGGGCGCCTGGGTGGCTCAGTTGGTTGAGCAACTGCCTTCAGCTCAGGTCATGATCCCGGAGTCCTGGGATCGAGTCCCACATCAGGCTCCCTGCTCGGCGGGGAGTCTGCTCTTCCTCTGACCTCTCCACTCTCACACTCTCTCTCTCTCAAATAAATAAATAAAATTAAAAAAAAAAAAGTAATCCACTTCTAGGGGCACCTTGGAGGTTTAGTCAGTTAAATGTCCTGACTCTTGATCTCAGGTCTTGATCTTGGATCATGAATTCAAGCCCCACAGTGGGCTCCACACTGGGTGTGGAACCTACTTTAAAAAAATTTTTTTAAAAAGTAATCCATTTCTAGAAATAGATTTTAAGGAAATACAGCAATCCAAGAGGCAAAATGTGATATGCATAAATATATTTATTAAGTGTAATTTACGATACTGAAAATAAAAGTAGATGTAACCTGAATGGCCAAAAACAGAGGGGAAAAAAACTAATGATACTCTTACTAAAAAGATTATGTAGCTGTTAAGTATCAAAATATTATATATCAAGTAGAAAAAAAATTCAAGAATATGAAATTATACAGAAGTTGCACAAAAAAGGCAGGGTGGCTCGCTGAAACTCCCAATATTACGTTGTATGTGAATAACTTTTCTTTTTCCACTTTTACATGTCCACTTACTTTATAAACTACCTTAAGAGTACCTATGTTTCTTAAAATAGGTCTATGGTAACCCTGACTTTGGCATCTCACCTCTAAGCCAACAAGTCAGCTAGAAAACAACAGATTCCATAGGGGCGAACTACACAAAGATGGGTAATGGCACAGGATGCCAACTCCCAACGACACTTCAGTAGGGCAGAAACACCTTCTACTGCGAATAGGAAACACGAGGCCCAAGTCTGAGGAGAAAGCCCACCGCCACCCATGAGCTCAACTGAGAACCTCAGGGTCACGCGGCACCTTGCTTCAATTTGTAAGCCAATGAGAAGGCACAGTGATTCCACAGATGTGTAACACACACACAGTATACAAAGCACGGAGGTTGGTAGGTGCTCTCACTCCAGGAAAGGGAAGGCAATGAAATGCGGTCATTCCTAGCTTTTCAACCAAAGCTATACTCCACAAACTATTCACACAAAGACTGAGTCACAGGTTTGCAGAAAGGTCAAGCCAGATGATCTGTGTCCATTCAGACACTGGTGAATGAAACTGCTGCTACCCAGGTTACTGCCTTCAATGGCCCTTTGCAGCGAAAATCACATCCATAACCAGTTCACAAATGCAACTGAACTAGCCACACTCCAACAGCCACTGGCTCGGACTCTGGTTTCCAGGGGAAAACATGCAGCAGATTCAACAGTACATACTAATCCCCAGATGGTTCACAGCAGCTTAGTACCTGAAATGTAGCCAAGCTAGGCTGGGGCCAGCCGTCAGCTGCAGGTCTGGGGAAAAGGGGAGGGGGCAGAAACTGTGTCACAAGGGTAAGGGTTCTGGGAAGTGTGGGGTGTCACCAGAGAGCGCACAGAGCCAACAGGTTCCAGGAGCACCTCCCATGTTCCTCCCAGGTACCAGGCCCCAGGGAATCCTGAAAAGCACCCAAGATACACCAACTGGTTCTACCTCCAATTGGGAGAAAAGAGCCAGAAAAATAACAGGAAGCTACAAAATGAGTCTCTAGGCAAAAGAATGCAGTGATACACAGGGAAGCCAGAAAGAGGTTAGGCATCAGCAGACCAGAGCCAGACAGGATTCCGAGAAAAAGGCAGGGCCAGGGAGCAGCCTTCCCTACACAAGGCGACTGACTTACCACCATTCTCTATTCTCACAAATACGCAGTGAACTAGAACTTTGATCCAGGATTTTTCTCCAACCATCCCAGTCAGGAATTGGCTGCAAGGGCCAAAACCTATCAGGTTTCAGGAACAGGATGCACTATCACAGGCCCAAGAAGCAAGAGTACTCTGTAGCTAATTTACTCCCTCAAAGAACTTGAAACAGCAATCCTGTGCAATAATGACTTTGTTACCAGCTTTGGCCAAACCGTAAGCACTAAAAACAGTGCCGGGTAGCTGGTTATGAGACTGGTCCAGCTAACAAAAACCCAAGTCATTCAACAATCCCAACAGTTACTGTTACTCCACGGCCCACCTCAGAACTCCCCGAGTAAAAGGTATGTATTGCACAGTGGCCAATCTGGCAGACCTATGAAGCCCGCAAAGTCAAGCCTAAAACAATTCCCAGCTCCTAGAAATTAAATTCTCAGTAAGACACTCCCATGTTGCTTCAACTTAAAGCCAACTAACTTTTCTAAAGGTGCATATTATAAAAATAGCTTGTGGTATACAACAAATCTGATGTCCTAAAATGACCCAACATCTATTAACAGAAACAACTGTGTGTCCTCAGAACAAGTAATGTGAGGCCAAAACACAAGCATAGGTGAAGCTGCTGGTTTCCTGGGGAGGGTTCAGGCGCTGATTTCAGAACCCAGTGCCCTGTGAGGGACACAACCAGTGGGGTCAGAACACTCAGACACAAGAATCCTTCTCCCGGAAAATATATTTACACGTAACACCCTCACAGCATTTCAGGGAGCGCTCGGGCACTACCGCTGTCAGGGATCCCAGTGGGGACTGAAGGCGGGCTCTAAGAGCATGCACGATTTTCCTCCACCCAAGTGGGAAAACAACTTCAATGAAGGCATGATTACCAAACACCAGTGACTGGGCCAAGAACGTTGCACTCGGGCAGCCGAACAGAGTGAACAGACTCGGGCTCTCCGAGTCCACCGTGGGAGGGACAAACCCCAAAGAAATGGTGTATGTTAACCGAAAACAGGGGCCCTAGAGCAGCAAAGTCACTAGCCGCGCAGGGGAGCGAGCGGAGGCTTCTTCACAGTGAAATCTGAACTGGCTGCTGAGGGAGAAAGGAAATTCTCAAACACTCCAAAGGAGAGAAATCTTTGCCTTCGCAGGAGCCAGGCTGCAAAGACAGACCTCAGGCCTGATGAGAAGAACTTCAACTAGCACTCTGAGCCCTACGTGAAAGCTCGCCCTGTGGGCAATGGCTCATGCCAGTGTCTTTAAGACCCAGGCATGATGTGGCAGAAGAACTGAAAAGGAGGTGGGGGGGATCCAGATGATGGGGCACTAATTTGAATGGAAAGCTCATACCAAAAATTCCAAGCAAGAAGCAGTAGCAGCAGGACTGAGAGAGGAACTAATAGATTCCAAAAGACAGACAGCTAAAAAATGAAACTCACAGGGTTAAACTTAAATGTGAACATGAGGGGCGCCTGGGTGGCTCAGTCGGCTGAATGTCTGTCTTTGGCTCAGGTCATGATCCCAGGATCTGGGATCCAGCCCTCGCATCTGGGCTGAGCTGGACTCCCTGATCAGGAGAGAGCCTGCTTCTCCCTCTCCCACTGCCTGCCATGCGGATCCCCCTCCCCCGCTTTGTAGCAGCACACTCTCTCCCTCTCCCCCTCCTTCCTGTCAAATTAATAAGTGAAATCTTTAAAAAAATAAAATAAAAATAAAAAACAATGTGAACATGCAGCGGGGCTCAGGTCACAGGAAGGAAAGCACACACCTGTGTGCTCTGCTTCCCATGACTCAGTGACAAGCACAGGTTGGGAAGGTGAGGGCACGTTGACACCATTCCCGGGTCCCCTAGAAGACCGGAGGTGTTTAGCTGGGAGAGACAATGCTTCTGAGAAACACAGCCACCTTCACAGAGAAAGGACACCTTCCACCTATCACATGGGAGTGGATCTGCTGTGTGGTTTCAGACCCAGACCTCAGAGCAATGGGTAGAGGCTAAGGGAAACAGACCACAGCTCGAGGTAGGGGCCATCCATGGGGTTATAAAGAGAGAATGAGCGGCCTCCTTAGATGAGGACCTCTCCAAAAGCAGAAGAAACAACCACACAGAAACAAAAAGCCCAACCTACAAGGAATTCTGTGTAAGAGAAATCCTTTTAGGAGCTACACAGCTTCACTCCTGTAACAATGAGGCAAATGACATTTTCAGTGGGTATACATAACCAACATATAAAAATTACCCTAAACCACTTTCTGATGAGTTATTTCTCAAAACATGTTCTCAGCAAAGCTTTCATCTCTACTCTCATTCTCCCACACTCTGCCCCCAAATACCAACTTCCTTCTTTTGAGGCAATATGCTGAACTCTAGGAAAGTTCTTAGAAAAAAAGTGCCTG